GTAGTACATAGTACTAGAGTCTCACTCGTACTAGTGGCTAGCAGCCATCGGCATAGAACGATGGTAAACTACACCAGCCGCGTTGTTGTCTACGAAAAAACAACAATGCAGCATTTGTAGGCAAAAACAAAACAAATCTAGCCGAGGGCTCCAGGCCGACCATCATGATGCTGAACCAGGCACGGGAGACGGAGCGTGTGCGTGTTAGCATGTTACATGACGACATGAAGGGGGTGGCCAGCCTGACAATTTGCACATTTTTCTTTCCTTGTCTGCACTTCCACAATCGTAAGTTGCCAGAATGGTAATGCCGTCGGTTGGAATATGGGTGGCGGCCTCGGAGCGTCCGCCACAGTCGCAGTACTCGAGTATTGAATGTGGGTACAAGGGCTCAGGTGGGCTCCGATAACTTTAGAATCAGTCACTGCGCTTTATTATTCTGTACTGAGTAAACAAACAGCTGGTGTTTTCAAGTGCCTCAGCCACCTACGACGTGAACCGCCACCAAATCCCGCCGGCGCTGGAACGACAAGGAGGCTCAGCCTTTGGCAACGTCAATGCTCGATTCTAATTTTTTTTTTCGGGCCAAGTGTCCGCGGATTACTCCGTGTCAGGCAGGCCATGGGCAAGTCACACATTGAAGCTGCGGCGGTAGTCTGCGATGAATGCCTCTGGCAACGGAAGAAGGTGTTGCCCGAATACTAATACATCTGTCTTCCCTGCTTTTCGACAAAGTATCGGCCTTCTTTCCGGAGCTCGGGACCCGGGGCCGGAAGCTCGCATGGGGTCGAGATGCCCCAGAATGAGTACGTCTAGCGGCTCTGTCTGCAAGTTGAGCCTGCATCGACTTGGACGACGCTGGGGCCAAGGGGTGGTGGTTTGATTGGGACATTTGTGAAGCAAAGCCAAGCAAAGGGGGATTGGTGCTAGAGAGCCGATAAGTGAGTGGTGCAAAGAACGAAGGGTTTGAAACATGATATTCCGTAGCTCAACAAGATGCATAGCTTCAAAGACCTCGCAGCCAAAGAGTTCAAGAGGCACAGACAAAAGGCCTCGTTGGGCTTCGTGCAATAGCAGGTGCTCTCTCTGTATGAATAATCCAGATGGCAGTCTCCGTGTCCCAGGTCGCGGGCCATGGCGCCAACGCAAGACGCCTGAGTGCTACATGTACGGACATGGAGTCGTACTGGCAGCAATGCGAGGCCCAAGTCCACACTTAGCATTGAGTCCACACCCAGCCCACGCCCAAGCCAACACGCACGCCCCCTGTCCCCATTGCATCGGAGGGAGGGCAAGGGCACAGCGGTAACATGGGAGATGGGCTGGGGGGGGGGGGGGGGGCGGCGGGCGGGGCAC